AAGTCAGGTAAATTACACATATATTACTGCATGCTTTTAACTACATACATCATAAATCTCTCTACTTCAGATATGAAGCAGTTCCTTTGGTTGATGCATTTGATATTCATGATGATATATTAAACTCATCTCTTGGTCGTTATGATGGTGATGTTTATAGACACTTGTATGAATGGGCACTAAGAGCTCCTCGGAATAAGAAAGAGGTTTGATACATTGTTATGATGTATTGTTGATAATGGTGATTTATTGTGTAAAGAATTGTATCATGAACTTATGTAAGTGCTTGGTAATGCCAAAATTAAGGTTTTGGCAAAACAAGTACTGCCATAAACATAGCATGTTTGGGTTGTTTGAATGCAAATTAGAGAGAGAGAGAGAGTGTGTGTGTGTGTGTGTGTGTGTGTGTGTGTGTGTGTGTGTATGTTAGATATATTCAAAGCCTCAAATGTACAAATCTATTTTTATTTTGTCCCCTTGTAATTATGAAACCTTATGGTACATGACATTGGCCATCAAAGGGTTAATGCTATCATTAAAAGTGTTTTTTGATTATTTTTATTAGGTCCATGATAATTATGAAAAATACTTAAAACCACTTTTGAAGAATACAAAGTCCAAGTTGTGATTTTTTCTAAAACTGTTTTTAGTAACGTAATTAAGTGACAACCATAATGATTAAATTGAAATTATTATTGATAATTGTGATTGATGATAATGTTATGCTGCTATAATATTTACAGTACTATTACATCCCCTAAGCAGATATACATACTGAGTTCTTTTGTAAAGAGTGCTACTTGTGAGCCCACCTAAATTCAGTGCAAGCTGTGAGCCACGCCCACATTCTTAAATTATTAATTAATTCAGTATTAAAATTATATAAAGCAACAATCATGAATATATTCTGACATCACATGTCATGCTCAGTTGCTATAGTGTATTCACAGTTTTCATTACTGAGAATAGTCCGCATTTACACTTTGTATTAATAGTCTTGTCTTCATTGTCATGGCTGTGGCTGAGTTAGTCTTGCCCCGCCCTTTCTTGGCTGAGTTTGCATTCTGGCCTACTAAAAAATATGACCTTTATGCCAATAGTATTCATATTGCATGCATTGCTGCCACAGCTGATAAATCAGCATGTTAATACACCCCCTATACAGTTACACTACTAGCATAGCATTTTTAACAGAAAGGTGACTTAAATATTGGTTAAAAATATAGGCTAAATTTGGATTTCTGGTTGGATAGAGAAACAAAAACAACAATGAGCAGTGGTAAGCCAATAAATACAGATTTTTGTTTATAGCCTTGTAGCTTAATGTTAAAGTAATGAAGTAGATCTAAATGTGTCCATTCTTTTTTGGGCCACTCAAGCTAGATTTAACAGCTTCTTCAATTTTATTACCACACACAGCACTTACAATAGAAATGTATTCTCATTCTATGTATTTATGCATAATTATAGGTAACTATTATGACAAGGATGGTAGTGGCTACTGCCTTATCATTAATAACGAAGACTTCTCCCAATCTGGCCTTCCTATTCGGCAAGGCACTTCAATTGATTCGCTTGGAATTAAAAAAGTCTTGGAAGACAGAAATGTCACAGTTCGTGAGGTCTCAAACTGTACGGCTCTACAAATACACAATAGTTTAAGTGATCTGAGCAGTATAAATGGAACAGTGTATCAGTTTCTCATTGTATTTATACTCTCTCATGGATATTATGGAAGAGTTTGTGGTGTGGATGGAATCAGGATCAGTACTAATGATGTACAGGAAATGCTGTGTGCTGCTAATTTGCCTGAGTTTAAAAATAAGGCAAAAATTCTCATATTGCACACATGCCAGGAAGATGAAATTGAAGAATACAATGACAGTCATTTTTTCATGATTGAAAAACACTTTCTAGTAGCATTTCCTACTTTGCCGCATCGTCTTGCCTACAGACACTTAGAAAAAGGAACCTTTTACATTCAGTGCCTCATAAAAGTGATTGAAGAGAAAGGAGAGACAGAAGACATAACATCAATATTAACAATTGTTAACAGAGAACTACAAGGAGCTTTAGAAGCTGTACGACCAGGATACACTCAAACATCAGTGTTTCAGTCAACCCTGACAGACAAGATATACCTCAGAAGAAGGTAAGATAATGAATAAAGGCAAATCCAAATTAAAAATTTCATGAATACATCTATATTATATGGTTCATAATCTATGTAGTAAATATTAAAACTTGAGGGAGAATAGTAAAATTAATTTTAAGTAGTATAAAAGACTAATTTTTTAATACAGGAATCCTCATTTAATACTAAGAGAACTCAATGATGATTTACATTCAGGATCATATTGTTTCATATCAAGTTTTGGTGGTGCATCAAACAGAGCAACAGCAATTATTCCAATACACAGAACTAATCACTATCAACAAAGCAGCAGAGGTATGTATGCTAGCCTATTAGATATTTGAGAACAAAAGTATTATAAATAAAATACATTAGTTTATATGTAAGGTTCAAATTAAAATGCTCACAAATATTATATTTTACAGGTGGATCTCAAGCACACAGTGTTCTTGACAGTGTGAAAGAAGAGTCCTTGGTAAACCAATTACTCAATATAAAACCATTAAAAGCATATTATTATTACGCATATGTGTTGCACACAAACAATTAAGTACCTGTATTTTTTTACAGAAGGAAAAGTTTAAAACTCAACAGACACTGGAGAGACTCAATTCTGAGAATGAAAACGAGGCAAAAAATGCAAGTAGTACTGAAACTACAGAACAACACCATACTGAAAACAGACATGATGCTACATTAGAGCAGTTTCCACTAGCAGTACCAGCGGCTTCCGAAAATGAGTTTGCCAGACAATCATTGGAAGATTGCAAAACTCTGCCCAGCAATTTGTCAGAAGATACAGCAGAGAGTATTAATGAACAATCACAAACCCAAAGAGATGAACAAGTACCTGGAACATCTTCAAATGCTGTAACAAAAACAGTGAATCAAATACCTAGTAAATCACTTAACGAGGAATTTGTTTCAGATGAGGAAAGGATCGATCGTGAAGAGCTTTCCCCGACACTTCTCTGGGATGACATGGAAGTAGAAATAGAAACAAAAGAAACAAATGAAGAGGAGGAATGTGCAACATTAACAACTCCATCAATAGTGTGCTCAGTGACAATGGAAGGATGGGTCAATGTACACACCAGCAATAATGATCAACCAGCCACAATAAAAGAAGAAGAAATAGAAACTGGTTTCATCATGGCTACCCTTGTACCAGTAAGAGAAAGAGAATTGCAAGAGGAATGGCTAGAATTATACTAAAGCTAGGATATTGCAATGTAGCTGGGCAACACTATCACTTTTATATATACTATGTCTAAATCTGTTGTTTTGTTGGAATTATTTTTGTGTGTATTAATCATATTCAGCTTTCATTATACTCTTAATGCCAGACAATGACTATGAATAATATTGCCAACATCATGCCATGAGCATGACTGTGGATGCTAGCTGGCATTTCTCTTTTTCAGTCACAAATGGAGTTACCTAAGAGAAATAAAGATGGTAAGATAGAGCAAAAGGCTTTAAAATATACAATATTGTTATTTTTACAGAGTATGACATCTCGGGGCTATGTACATGTGTTATTTTTAATAATCTCAACTTCAAAACAATGCCCAGAAGGAGTGGCAGTGATAAAGATGCCACTGATATCAGGATAGTGTTCCAAAAGCTTGGTTTCATTGTACATACATACAGAGACTGCACATCAGATGAAATGCGTCATCATCTCAAAGAATCGAAACGAAAAAATATTGGAAGTGTCAATGCCTGTTTCTTCATCTTCTTCTTAAGTCATGGGTACACAAATGGAATTTATGGGGTGGATGGGACATGCTTTGCTTTTACTGAATTACAGACTTGTTTAATACCAGCTCTACCAACACTATCACCTCTCATGGATGGCATTCCAAAAGTATTTATATTCCAAAGCTGCCGAAATGGTGAAGAACCAAACAAAAAATTTGAAACGCCTGATCCATTAGATGATCACATTCTCCTTGTTTTTGCAACCCAGCCTAACTGCCAAGCCTACAGGAATCATACAGAGGGTAGCCACATGGTCCAATGCCTGTTACAAGCGATGAAAGAGTATCCCCATGAGACTAATATAATAAATATACTGACACACACTAACAGGCTTCTGGCTCAGAAGACACAGTACCAAAGACTTCGTTTTAACTCTTCATTAATGCACAGTCTTCATTTACCAAGGGCAAGGTATGAAATGCTAATATTCATCATAATAATTATTCTATACTATGTCTGGTTCAAACAATGAAGTTGCTTAATCTGAGTCAGAGAGAGATTTCTTGAGTGTGGTAGCCTGATTGTTTGACACATGCTTAAGGCTTGTTCATTCAGCAGCTAAGGCCTAGAGCATGTTTTTAATTCTTGCTCAAAACATGGCTTGTATGTACTCATTTAAGATGACACATAATCACCAATATAAAATCTACCAATAGCGTTTCTTCAATAATTTGCTAAATGCAACTCTCATAAATAATTAATTTTTAGCTGTGTACAATATCTGTTGCATAAATTAATGTTCACATTATATAGGGTAAATAATTTAGGAAGAGTATTTACAGCTTCTTACGAGAAAGAGGTAATTATAGCATTGTCACTCACTTCATAAATAATGTTATATATACCAGGTCACTAATTCTGAGTGTGCAAAAAGTGCAAATACACATGAGGAGCAACATAAAAGTACAGACAATATTGTCAATGTACTTGATAATACACATGTACATATGTACTCACATATAAGACTATGATCAAAATATTTCTATTAATCATATGTTCATGTCATAGTTAATAAACGTATCCTTCCCACACATAAAAACAAATGACACCACAAAAACAATAGCTAAAATTCATGTGTAACACAATTGTATGTTATTAATTATTTTATACATGTAGTTGCTATTATTCCAAGACCTCCTGCCTTTGTCATCAACTGTGGGCTGTGTCTTGTATTTAATAACAGTTCACATCACAGCAAAGAAGCACAAATAATGCTACAGAATATAATGGAGATTCAAGGTTATGCTTTTCTCTCCTTTGATAATATTAACTGGAAGAACATGAAGCTCTTAATAAAGGAGACTAGCAAAATTGCCTGTCAGGCTTTCGCATTGTTTGTACTCAGTGAAGGCGAAGAAGAATTCATATACGACAGTAACAAGAAAATTATACCAATAAGACGCATACTTGATTATTTCTCGCCTGCGGACAACCCATTAAGTAGCTTTCCAAAATTCTTTTATTTTCAAACCACCATCATTACGAAGGAGACAGAAAGAGAAGGAGCAAGGGGGCTACCAGGACAAAGGGACACGAGAAGGAGTAGTCGAGAGAATTTTGGTGTTCCTCCATTGAATTCAGTTTGTTGCCAGGTCTCAACAGAGTCCTCACTCTTATTTCATTTCTTTAAGAATATTCAGCGATTTGAAGATGAAATAGGAGAACTGATACCATTGAGAGAGATTTTAGAATACTCCCTTAATGAAGGAAAGAAAAGTGCATTAGTTTTTGAGGAAGGCCAGAAGCCCCCACCACTTGAAGTCATATGGTCACATGTTTGTTCAAATCCTGTCAATAGTGACATGGATCTAACACTAAAGTGTAACAAGTAATTATGAAGTATTAAAAGATTTAAGAAATTTATTTCTTCTTTTAGGGTACAAATACAAGTGGCCAGTTTGAAGCTAATAGCAGAAATCAAGATGAATATCAATAAAAGAGTTCAGCGGATTTACGACAAGACAGAAACCATAAAAGCAGAAAAAGAAGCCATATTTTGTCACTATTTTGATGAGTACCTTCAAGTAACAGTATCCAAATCTCAAGTCATGCAAGGATCAGAATCAAATGAAGACACAAAACTCAAATCACAAACTAAACAAATCATAACCACTTGTCAGTTAGAAGAGAAGCTATGCAGCAGAAACACAAACATAATTGAAGCCATCAAAAGAAGTGCAATGTCACAAACCTTAGAGAAAGAACTGCACAATTATCAGAGTTGTGCAAGGTGGACACTGACTGCCTTTTATCAAAACATGTCCCCAACACAAGACATTGATCCTAAACAACTCATGCAAGTACACTGTGACTATATTCAGTTGTCATTAGAGGCAGTTGAAGGAATTGAGGGAGCTATAGAGCAACAAAACAATCAAGTAGAAGAATTAGAACTTAGTCAAATATCAAGTTTACACAATGACCAGCCACTAGAACAAAGTTAGTAAAGTTCACTTAGTAAAAGAATGTCACCCAAGGATGCATGATAGATTAGGAAAATTAAAATTAATAATACTGTTTTATTTTTATTGTTCTGTATTTTTGTAATGACTTATTATTTATTCTGAAAATTTTCTGTGTTTGAAATTTTTTATCTACCATAAAAAGTGAAATTGTTTCAAAGTGAGAATTTCTTATGATTTGATAATGCTGCACTACTCAGTCTTAGTAATTTCCATAATGCTAGTTCAAATACATAAAAATGCATGGAGAGTTTGTTGGTTTCTTATAGAGTACTAAAAAAAGTTCTCAAGACTCTCACTACTCCACTCAGATTTAGTTTCTGATGCCATTACTGTCATTGAGGCCGGTGATACTTTCTCCTCCATTGTCTCTTTGTTATTGAGCATGTGTTCTGCTGTTCACAATAAGAGAAGCTCTGGACCCCACTGCCCTAGAGCTACAGACAAACTGTTGAGTACCACCACTAAGAAAAAAAACTCTGTCAGGAAGGATTTCAGTAAGGACACAAGTGGTTTCCTGAATGCTGTTTGTGTTCACAATAAATTTCTCAGTGTTGCCCCTCAGTCCTCCTACCACCTATCTGCTGTCAAACAAGAGAGGGCTTTTCGAGCAAACCCATGGGCATGGGTGTTTGCAAAATTGGTATGTAACTCTAAATCCAACATTGATTACCTGCATTCTCTTTCCAGTAGCACTTTGAGTTTTTCCAGAACTCTTTTAGTTACTCTTGTGGTCCCCCATATACCAGTCTGCCAACTTGGGTTAAGACACATTACAGTACAATTGAAGTTAATAGTCCTTGTAATATTTCCGCTATTACTCCTGCAGTAATAAAGAAAGCTTTAAGTAAATGCTCTAATGGCTCATCGTCTGGCTCACATAAAATCAGCTATTTCCATCTGAAGAATCTCCCTTGTACTCACCAGTCACTATTCCTCAGCCACTCCATTCTCAAAAGATCATCCTCTCCTGCCATGAGGCACCCTTGTCATGGTGTGTTGGTAACCTTATTTTAATTTATAAGAAATGAGACATCATTTGTCTATCAAATTTTCGTCCAATTACCTTAACGTCTACTGTTGGTAAATTGTTCCATTGTATTTTAGCCAACAGACTTGAGTGCTACCTCTTACAAAATGGCTATATCAATCCTAACCTTCAGAAAGGGTTTCTATCTGGTGTCGATGGTGTAATTGAGCATATCCTTTCACTGAACTCTATCCTAAACAATTCAAATTGTCATAATTTACTCCTCTTTATGACATTTATTGATTTGAGGAATGCTTTCGGCTCAATACACCATTTGCTTATCAAGGATAAGCTGCATATATCAGTCTACCACCCTCTATCATCCTCTATATTACCAACCTCTACTCTAAGTTATCAGCCTCTATTACCACTTGTCAGTGGTCCATTCCTCATTTAAAATCTCAAGAGGAGTTTTTCAGGGTGACACTCTCTCTCCCCTACTGTTCTTGTTGTGTTTTCAGCCTATTATTGATTTTATCAATGGCATCTCTTTTGATGGTTACAAGCTGAAACTCCCTCTAAACTGTACTAATGGCCTCCTGCCTATTACTTCATGTATTTATGTAGAATGGCAGGAGGAGACTTCAACTGAACCAGCTGCATGGTACCACTGTGCTGTTGTGGAATATCATCCTGATTCTTGAGCAGTCCTGAAATACCATGATAACGCTACTGAGACTATTGACCTTAACACTGTTAAGTGGGAGCTGACTAGGAAGAATTGTGAAGCCTATCTGCCTATGGATTCTGCTCCTCCGATCTATCCTCTTCAAGAAGTGCATAAGGCAGCTACTGTCACTAAATATGCTTGGTCATCTGATCATAAGGTGAAAGGTTATGCTGACGACCTTACTTTTTTTATCTGTCTCCAAAACAGATCATCAGGCCGGTTTAACAGCTAGCTATCAGTCAATCATGCCAGGAATTGGGTCTTGAAATCTGTCCTGACAAATGTACATCTTACTGCTTTGATGGTCAGAAACCTCTACCATGCACATCATTCTCTCTCATTGATGGTTATACAACTAATATCTCCTCTGCACCTACCAAATTTTTGTGCAGTTAAGTTTTGTAACAGAGGGAG